TTTTTTTTCTTTGAAATCGCGTTCAGCCCGAACGGCCGAACTCATCCCCAAGGGGTCCCATATGTTCGGGCGTTCGGCCCGTCCCGAACGCCGGTTACCCTGTATATAGATATATAGATATAGATATATATAGGGTTGTTGGCATTCGGGTTCGGCCAAACTCCCGAATCCGAACCTGCCGAACGTTCAACCCCCCTTGGGGATGCATTCAGTCGTTCGGACCAAACGCGGACCTAAGAAAAAAAAAAAAAAAAAATCCAAAAAATCCAAAAGATCTGCAACAAATATATGTTATGCAGAAAAATTAAAACGAACAACATTTACCTAACCAATTTTGAAATCAAAATAAAATAAAAAAAATAAATAAGAAAAAGAAAAATAAGAAAAAATGAAAAGAGAAGTAAAATTAGTGAGTGGGCCAGCACGTTTTCAACACCGCCATCTTTGGCGATTTTATACTTTTTCTTGGGATAGCCAAATGCCTTGAAATTTACAGATGTGTATTTCACATAAACTCATAAAAAAGGTTAAAAAAAATAATAAAATATTTGAGTCTCCAAAATAAAATCAAAACAAAAAGTGAAAAGTGAAAAAAAAAAAAAACCCTGAGTGGCCGAGCACGTTTTGACACTGCCATCTTTGGTGATTTTTCATTTTTGTTTGGCTTGGCAAAATGCCTTCCGGATTTATATGCATATAGCGCATGTCATACCAAACTCACAAAAAATAATTCAATAAAAAACAATGATTTTTAGGCCCCGAAATATTTTTTGGCGGGGGCAGATTTGGACCCCGAACGAGACCCGGAACGCCCGAACGTTCGGGGGTCAGCCTGGGGGACCCCGAACGTTCGGCCCGGTAACCAGGCATCTATATAAATATATGTATCGTCAAACAGAGTTTCCCGGTAAACCGTAGGCAGAGAGGGAGAAGAGGACAAGAAACGAGGGGCTGTGACAAACTGTTTCGTCGGAGTTTCACTAACTCGTCAGGAGGCTGGTTCTCGACGGGACGAAACACACATAATTGTTCGACACGGCACAACTCTTCGCGTGCAAGTGTGTTTAGTGGGTGGTGTGGAATTTGATGGAGCGGCTTTGCGGCATTGGTGTTTCACATCCCCTGATGATACTACCTTTAGCGGGGTAGTTGCAACGATCGTAGGGATTTCCATTAGTACGACACGACTATTGGGCTACATTCTATGATTCAAAGTGCCTGTTACGTGTATCTGCAACATGGCTCTCTGTGTGTTTTATTTCACTTTCTCCTTTTCGTTTTTACATCTTGAATCTTCTATCTGCTTTCTGGTTTTACTTTTCATTTTGATTTTCCTCTTGTTTCCCCTTCTCGTAACCTCCTATGGCCATGCTCTTTCCTTGAACTTTGCTTCATTATTCTGCCCTTTGCGGCCTGTACGCAGTTGTTTGTGTCACCACGCTCACTGTTGGTTGCGATTGTAACCACTTTGTTAATCGTCGATTGGTGTAATCGCCTTTGATGATATGATTGGCCCATCGTTGTTTTTTTTTATTTTGTCTCCATACCAATTACTCACACTAAGTTATTTTGGCTGA